GGTGGTTTCCAGGGACTGGAGGAATGTGGAGGGAGATTTTGCTTAACAAGTACAGAGCTTCAGTTTGACAAGATGACAAGGTTTGGGGATGGATGGTGGTGATGCTTACATACCATTATATGTATATTTAACACAATTGAAAGTATACTTTAAAACAATTAAGATGGCAAACTTTATAACGTGTGTATTTATCACAAGAAAAGAAAGACAACCCTCTCTTTCGGTCTTTCCATCTACTCAGTGTTACGAAAGCCCAAAGACCTATATCCCAACACTGTTGGGCTGGGAATGGACACACATAGGGGACTGCAGGGGCCCGAGGGCTCAAGCTTGATGCTCCTGAGCAAACTGAACCTTGTCCACATCACTGTCCATGAGAATCAATTAAAACAGGAAACACAAACCACCCCACTGTGTCTGCACCTATTAAGCTTCTTGGAACCTCGTTTGATTTATATCTGGTTGCTGAAACAGTAGCTTCTGACGACTGTGCATTTGTTCATCTAAACTCATCTCCATTCATTTCGGCCTCAGGCCCTCTTCCAGAACACGCGCTGCAGAATCAGAGTGGTGCACACCAGCGTCACCAGCAGCAGCCGCCAAAGCACCGAGATCTCGAGTCCTCCCCATGGGGATTCTGATTCGCCTGTCTCTGGGGCTCAGGAATCCACATTTTTATGAATACTGCTACCAATCAGACTTGGGCCACACCCTGGGAAGCATCGATCTAGATGATCTAGATGCTTGGGCTCACTGACAGCTCATCCGGCTCTGGTTCAGGACAGCCCCAAAGTCACAACAGATCCACTCCCAGAAAACCTGATCTCCGTCAGTGCTTACCCATCAACTTCTGTTTCCCCACTGATTTGTCCCAAAATAGACAAAGGCTTTTGAATTATCAAAGTCCAGAAATCATAAAAATATAGACATATTTATCTACAAAAGATAAACTTTTGCATGTAAAAATATCAGCAAGCTCAAAACACAAAAACCTGGGGAAAACATTTATAATCATACGATAAATAATGGGCTCTTCCATCTAATATGGAAATCAGTAGGAGAAAGACCAACAAAGCCATAGAAAAATTAATCAAAATTTCAACAAAGAAATGGCAGCTGGCTCTTCATTACACATGAAAACCTGATTAAAGTTTACTACTATTACAGTAAGTGCAAACTGAAACATAGCTCAGCACATTTTTCTATCTATAATCTTAGCAAAATTTTAGGAGATTAATGCTTGCACACCGTGTTGGCAAAACTATGGGGAAAGACACACTAGTCTATGGAAAATGTGTTCTGAAAAATACAGAAAGTATCATGAAAAAATTATACAGGGGTTTAAAATGGTTTCTTCACCAAGATAAACTAATCTTTTAATTCAGTTTTCCCACAAACTGAAGGACCTCTGTAGGCCATAGACTAAGGATGAATTTCCCTTGGAGGTAAAATTGTCAAGATATGTGAAATTTACAATTACATGTTGTCTTTGACTCATTATTTCAAGAAGTTTATTCTGATTTTATGTGATATATCAAAGGATAATCATGGCACTATTGTTGACCATAGCAAAATATCAGAAACAACCTTGTGTGGCCATTAATAGGGGACTGATTAAATGCAGCATGATAAATTTATATAATGAAAGATAATAGGTTGGTAAAAAATAATTATGATCTTTATGTGTAAATATAGAAACATCTGAAAGGACATTCAGGATAAATGTGGTTACTCCGGGGGGTACTAGGTACCACTGTTCATCTGTTTATGTGCTTTTTGATTTCTGAATCATATAATTGCACTACCTGTTAAAATTTTAATTTATTTAAATAATTAAATGAGAAGATTGTTAAACGTGCATGTGGGTCCTCCCAGTATTAACTGTATTGAAACTGAATCTCCAGGAACACAAGGAAGAGTTGAATTATTTCTTTAAAAACAACAACAACTCATTCCACTTTAGTTCTTTTTTCTGGATTTAAAGTTAACTGTGCAAAGCGTCCCCCACACGGGAGATTGAGTGTACAGTGAAATCACCATCTGCCTGACTTAGCTAAGATGGATGTGATAATTATTATATGGCTTTCTGAAAACAATTTATGTAATTTATAACCAAGGACAGTTTCCATTCCTCTAACCCTATGTTACATTTTATATGCATATATACAAAAAGAAATTGAGAGAAAAGAAAACAACCCATTCACTCATGTTGTGCTCTGAGTTATATGTGGACGGAGACAGAGCCAGTCAACCACCAACCACTGTTTGCAGCCACTGCCATCCACTTTTGTGCTTGTGGTCTGTTGTCCGTCCACAGCAATGCTATACTGGTACGTGTTGGTTAAAGGACTACGGTAGAAACAAACAAGCAAACAAAATCCCATACCATGGCTAAGTTCAAAAGCTATCAAAAATCTGTCTTTTCTGGTCTCTATTAGATACACATACATCCTATGGCTTGGCAATTTCAGCACTACGTGGGTACCAAGAGAAAGTCACTCGCTTGTGCGATAAACGACATGTGCAGATTTGCCCTTTAGAAGCGTTATTCATTGTCGCCAAAATAGGACGTTATTCAAATGCTCATCAAGATTAGAAGGGATGGATGAATTCATGGTATAGCACAAAAATAAAACTCTACACGGCAATGAGAATGAGAGAATTGCAACTGCAGTCAACAACCTGTAGTTCTTTGAGTCAAAGACAACAAACAAACAAGGAAACAAACTGAGTGATGTGATTTATGTGCTCAAATGCAGGCAAAAAGAATCTGGCTTTCGGCTTGAGGATGCCTGGGGTATGGAGACTGGACTAGGGTGGGGCCTGCTGGGGATCGATAACACGCATGGTCAGTTTGTACAAAGCCACCAAGCAGCGCATTTAATATCTGTACACTTCCTGCATTTCTAACACTTAAGAAGTCTAAAAATACTATGACCAGTGAATGAATGAGTTTTGGAAATGTCATGGGCTCAACTTCCAAATACACGCTCTCCCAGCTCTTGTGGAGCTATCCAAGAGAAACCAAAGATAGACTTCAGAAACTCAACATTGCTGGCAGCCAAAATTCCTGGGGCCTTGAGGGTCTTCAGGCACCACAGACACAAAGCCTTCCCCATGGGCCTGCACAGCAGCCAAGCCAAGGGCTCCCCGTTAAACCCCCAGGAGAACACGCTTACAGTCATGTCTCAGCCTCAGGAACTCCCAGAGACGGAGATGTTCCAGGCAGGTGAACCTGCTGGATGATCAAAACGTTCCTTCATTCAAAATGACATTGCTCTCGATGGGACCCCTTCCAAAATGCACTTCACTGGTCATCAAAGAAGGAGGTGCCTTCCTCTGAAAGGAGGCGAGAACTTCCACTTTGCTTCCGGCTCTGTCTCAATACTGACGGAGTTTGTGGATTCCCAAGGCTTCCACAGCCTAGGCAGCTCACATCAAGAGCCTCGGGTGATCACACATGAGAGTGTTAATTGTTAAATTAAAAAAGAAGAGTCACTGTGTACCCACACAGGATCACTGTCCTCAAAGAGTTGTATTATAACTATGTCTAAGTGCTCCCAAAAGATGTATATTTCTTGGGTGCTTCATTAAAATTAAGTTTATAAAAAAAAGAATTGAAATTAACTTCAAGATGCAATGACTTTGAATAGCCCTTGTCTTGACTGTTGAGAAACTGTTTTTTTGTTTTGTTTCGTTTTTGTTTTTACCTTGCCAATTGTTAAACTCTTTACTTAGTATAGAGTTGGTCTTCTGTATATAAAGCTAATTGAAAATGGATCTTAGTGGAGAATGGGAGAAGGAAGAGGAGAAGGGGTATGGTAGGAAGAATCACTGTATCCTAAAGTTGTATTTGTGAAATGCATGAAGTCTGTATTCCTTAAATAAAAGGTTTCTTTGGGGGAGAAAATAAATAAATTTTTTTTAAAAAAACAAGATGCATTTCATGCATCCTTGACTTTCTGGAGAGTCTAAGGAATAGATTTTAGCCTTTACAACAAACAACAACGCTGCCAATTAGACACTGTGTACATGCCAGGCGCCATGCAAAAGGCTTCCCATCAGAGTTCCTTTCTCAATCCTCACCAGATCCTACTGCGATTCCTAATGTATGCATGAGGCGTGCAGTGATCACATAACTGCCCAAGGTCATAGGGAAAATAACGAGTGGGGGATGTCTGGCCGAGGGCATTCTCAGCACAGTCTAAATCCTAACCCCTGCACCAGCTTCTCTTCACACCTTCAGCCTTTGTGTGTGCTGCACACACTCCAGACTGCCCACAGCGAGATGAGAATGCCGGCTGTGTCTTTAGAGAGGCCATTCGAATTCTTACTGCCTTTCTCTTCCATGTTTCCTTTCTCTTCCATCGATGTTATCCATGAGGATATTTCAAAAAGTTTGTGGAACATGGAGTCAAAAGATAAGTTTATTTGGGAATAAAATCATTTCAAAATTCACACCTACGTGGCGTCTTCAAGAAATGAAAAGTGAATACTATGAAAAAACTGTACAAGGATTTCAAAAGTTTTGCATAACAGTAAACTTATCTTTTAATTCCTTGTCCATGAACTTTATGAGGTATTCTCACATAAATTTTCACACAAAGCTGTTATCAGCACGCTACACTCGCCCAAAATACTCATGCTAAAAGTCTTTGTTTTCACTGCTTTAAACTTGCAACCTTCTTAGAGCTTCCCGAGTTGGTTAAAATATCCCATGGAGTTGGATCAACTTCTTTATCTGCTTTAGTAACTCCTCCGGTTTGCTGTATCTCAAAGTGCAGTGGGTGTGCTTTTCCTCAACGCAACTCAGAAGGATGCCTGTGATGCTCATCAGATAAACAAAAGCCGCGCTCCACTGGGGTCCATCTGGATGGCAGCCGCTCTCCAGAAAACACAACGGCGTGCCCAGATAAGCACAAGGCACACAGCGTCCCATTTCTGCAAGCTGTATCGCCTGGCAGGCCTGCAGAGAGAGCCAGAGAGTGATGCATCCTTACCCCGTCTTCAGGCTGACCAAGGCATCCTCCACGCCCTTCTGATTAAACTTGGTCATGTACTGGTGCATGTAGGGGTAGTTATTCCGAATGTTTCTCTCCGTACTTCCATTGGGCACTGTTCCAAATCGGAAAGGTGGGGAATAGTCATGAGGTCTCTGAAACTGGAGGCAGAAAAGAAGGGGATGGCAGAGGAAGAGGAGGAAGAAGTTAGCAACATACAGTCTGGTGTCAGGATTATACACATGCATGTATCAGCACAGGTTAGAAGAAAACAAAGACTTTTGCCCCTTCTTTCCACTTAATGCCGTGCTCTACTGGCCGGAGGCTCCAGAATGGTGGAAACTGCATCTGTCTTGGGTGCTGTCCCCCAGTTCCTGGCACACGGCCCTGCGGGGTGCCCAGTAGATTTGCTGGATCCATCACCTTTGTACCATTCTACAGACTGGCACCGTGCAGTGTGCACAGTGCTCAGGAAATGCTGGCTGACCTGGAAGGAAAGGTCTAGCGACTCCTATTCCTTTACCTATCTCCTGTGAGTCTCCACCAACCCTCTTCTCTGAACTCCACTCATACCAACCTTCATCTCACCCAGGAAACAATTTCGAGCTGCCCTCCGTTCACCCTGCACCTACTCCTCCATTCACTCATGAAGGTGGCATTTGCTGACTGCCTACCATAGCCCTGGCATAATGCTGGCACAGGGCAGGCTCCATGAATGTCTGTGGAACTGAGGGCCCTTCCCACCAGCCATTATCTTCCCAGGGCTGTCCACGTCCCACGTGGCTCCCACAGAGACACACGGTCCACGCTCCCTGAGTCTGCCCCTGTTGGCTGGAAGACGCTGTCTACTCCCGGCTTTGACGCTGCAGTGACTCAGCCAGGACAGAAGTCACAGGAACTGGATACGACTCTCAGAAAAATGGCAAAGCTAGAGGCAGGCCACAGCAGTGGCTGCAAGTGGGCGCTCACGTTTGCTGGTTGGCAAATCAGGTTCTATCATTTCAAGCCGTCGGGGCCCTGGGGATCTCCCTTCAATTCACACTGCCTCCACCTATTGTCCACCTACAGAGTGGGGACCATAGCAGTGCTTCCTGTGTCAGGTCCCTGTGAAGAGCTAAACATGTAACATTTGTCAAATAACCATGCCTGAGGCAGAGGAAACACTCAAAACTATGGCTGCTTTTTATTTTTATTGTCATTGAAGCCCACGAAGTAACCTGAGCCTCGTTTTCCTACTGGAACTCAAAAGTAATGCAGTTGACGGACCCTTTTGGAGGACTTGGTTGGGACCAGCACTATGCATTGAACTCGACAAGTGCTGGTGTGTTTGATCCTCAGCACACACACTTCCAGGTTAACTCATCTTAGAAGTTCCACCCTTCGAAACCTGGGACTGAGAGAGGTTGCACCACTAGCAAGCAGTGGTCTGCAGTGTAACCCACGTGGACCTGAGCTCAGGCCGAGGGCTTCTGTCCCTCCCTCTCAGAAACCACAGCCAGTGGCCGGCGCCTCGGCTCACTAGGCTAATCCTCCGCCTAGCGGCGCCGGCACACCGGGTTCTAGTCCCGGTCGGGGCGCCGGATTCTGTCCCGGTTGCCCCTCTTCCAGGCCAGCCCTCTGCTGTGGCCAGGGAGTGCAGTGGAGGATGGCCCAGGTGCTTGGGCCCTGCACCCCATGGGAGACCAGGAGAAGCACCTGGCTCCTGCCTTCGGATCAGCGCAGTGCGCCAGCCGCGGTGCGCCGGCCGCAGCGCGCCGGCCGCGGCGGCCATTGGAGGGTGAACCAATGGCAAAGGAAGACCTTTCTCTCTCTCTCTCTCACTGTCCACTCTGCCTGTCAAAAAATAAATAAATAAATAAATAAATAAATAAATAAATTTAAAAAAAAAAGAAACCACGGCCAGTGACGCCCTCCTCACTGAGATCCCGACAGGACAAACACGTGGGAGTCAGGGTCAGGCCAGGCCGGGAGCCAGAGGTGTCTCTGACCTCCAGAGCAACGTGTCTTCCTTGGAGCCAGGAACCGCCGGAGAGACCACCCAGAAACACGATGTGTGCGTGTGTGTGTGTGTGTGTGTGTGTGTTTCCATGCTCACACTTCATTTCACTGCTAATTTAAACTTCCAGCTGAAAAGATCATTTCCCCTCAATTAGGCTTGCAGTTGCATAAGGCGCAGCCATACTGGATTTGAGAGAAGTGGCTGCCCATGGACCACATGTCACTGTGCTGCTCTCTGAGTCAGATGCGTGTGTGTGTGTGTGTGTGTGAGAGAGAGAGAGAGAGAGAGAGAGAGAACGAACAGCAAAATGCTCTTGGCAGCTCCTCTACAAGCCGCAACATCGTCACTCATCACCAGTAGAGGGGTTGGAGGGGCACAAGCCCAGGCTCCCAGGCGGGGCAGCCGCCTGCTCTGGGGGAGCCCTGGTAACACCTGGATCATAAACCTCACGGTTGGAGCAGCAGTTAACCATCTCCGCAGCCCCCCGGAGATGGCCTGTTGGACGAAATGCCTTGCACTCCCCTCCCCATCTGCTGTACAGCTTTGAAGAATAGCTGTCTTTAGTTCCTCTGGTTTGTGCAGATTCAGCCCCCGGGAGGGTGCCCACACTTCTCCGGCCCCCACAGCCAATCCACGCCAGAACCTTTCCCACCAGACTAAAGATGGCCAAACTTTGAAAAGCATGACTGGCAACATGCTTTCCACTGCCGCCCCATGCACACGCGTGGGGCTTCCCAGCACTCTGTCTACATGTGACATGCTCCGTATTAGCCGCCATGTTCTATTTTTAGGGTCTCACTCTTAATGATGTCCGTGGCTCCCTAAGCTGTCATCACCTACAGTGTAAAAGAATCAGGGGCCGGGACAGCTCATCCAAGCCCCAGGGTCTACACTGATGGCACCCTCCGTGTTCCCCACAGGGGCGCCTGCTGGGGCCATGCTCTCCCAGATAGTTCCCTGTACGGACAGAAAGGAAGCCACACGGCAAGGAAGAAGCAGTGCAGGGGCTCCACTGACCACAACACAGCAATCTAACCACAGTGTGGGGGCCTCTCTCAATTCTGCCCCTTGCTGTTCTTGCGCCTGGCTTCACCCAGCTCCGGGCTCAGAGAGGCCAGGGTCACGGTTCATCTCCCACTCAGGTGCTGCTGCGTTGGGGAAAGCCATGTAAACTCTGGACCTCAGTGTCTGTAAATCGGATCATCAGTCGTAAAGTGCATGAAGTAACACCTGGCATCCTCTCTCACGCTGGGTGAACACTGTCCACCAACCCCCAGGGCAGCTCTGGCCAAATGATGGAGCCAGTCTCCCTCCAGGTTGGAGGAGGTAAGTCCTGTCCATTCAACATGGGGACAAGTCTAGAGGTATCCAAGTGCATAAGACATGGTGACCATTTATGATGCAGAAGGTAGAGGCGCAGGGCTGGGACCTGGACTTTTTGCAGGAAAAATGCAGCAAATCACCAAGACATTCCTTTGCTCTTCTTCTGAGCCCAGTGTCACTCCTAAAGATCTCTATCTGCCTCCTGTGTCCAGTAACAAGAGACATCTGGTGCCCAGAGCCCTGATCCTAGGGCAGCCCTCTGGGAGTGCAGCTCTGGGAGTGCAGGTATGGCCTCCAGTAGAGATGGGATCAGCTCAGAGGCCACCATGCCTGGCTGGTCCACCCTCGGGCTCGGCCACCACGGAAGGCTCCTGAATGCCCTCCACTGGGTGTCGTTAAAGAGCATCTCAGTGCCAAGAACCTGTCTGGCCCCGGAAGTGAGGAACAGCGTGGGTCAGGCAGTGATGACGATGACAAGAAGCAGGAGGAGAGGGAGCTGACAAGAAGGAAGTCAGCCTCCCCTAACCTCCACTAAGCACTCTCCCATCCTCAGCTCCCACGAGATCAGCTTCTCCAGAATCCATCTGGGAGTGAGGCCATGCACTGTGCCTCTGTCTGCTTGACTCACTACATGTAGCATAAGGGCTTTCATGTCCTTCCATGTTGCTGCTAATGCCAGGATTTCATACTTTTTTATTTTTTAACAGCTGAATGTTATAGTTAAGAGGAATAAGTTCTGCTGTTCTGTGGTTCAGCAAAGTGAATTTAACTGTTGTAGACCTCAAGGAAGAAGAGACGGACAAGTGCTGGGTAGGGCAGGTAACACACTGCTTGGGATAGCTGCATCCCACATCAGACTGCCTGGCTTTGAGTTCCGGTTCCACTTTTGATTCCAGCTTCCTGCCAATACCCACCCTGGGAGGCAGCAGGTGGTGGTTCAAGCAGCTGGGTTCCTGTCACCCATATGGGAGACCCAGATGGAGTTCCAGGCTCCTGGATTTGGCCTGTATCAGCCTTAGCTGTTGCAGGCATTCGGGGACTGAACCAGCAGATGAAGATCTCTCTCTCTCTCTTAAATAAATAAATAATATGTGCATAGATAAATAAATATTTTTAGAAGATAATAAAATATAAGAGAGGATTTGATGTTCTCACCATAAAGACTAGTAAACATTTGAGGGGAGAGAAATGCTAACTATCCTGAGTTGATCATTATCCAACAAATGCAGGCACACACATCCAAGCATCACACTGTGTCTCAGAAAGACTTACAAATATTATGTGTCAATCAAAAATTAAAATATAAACAAGTAGGAGAGAAGAATGGGGGAGGGAGGTGGGAAAAGGGAGGGCTGGTGGGGACAACTTTTATCATAGGATTATCCGCTGTGTGCCAGGCACAGTGTGAGGATGACTTCTAATTCTCTTAGCAACCTTGCCAGCAATGGATCAGTACCCTCCCTTTACTAGGAAATGAAGCCTTGGGTTTACGGACATAACGAAGGCACACATCCACGATATGGCAAGGTTAGGATCTGAACCTAGGTCTGCCTGGTCCCAAGCACAGTGTTACTCTTATCAGTGCATCAACCTGCTTCACAGAGATGGGTTTTCCCTACCAGAGTGATTGCCAACCTTCTGGAGGAGCTTCCCACCAGCACTCCAGCCTCCCTTCAGTAATCCCTAGGGTAGCTCTGACCCCTGAACTCATTGACTTACAACGTAAGCCCAAGCTCATATGAGCACACCACGGGCTCCAAATACACTTCCTTCACAGCCAGCATTGATGGCTTAAAAGGATTGCAAACCCGAGTTGTTACACAGGTATTCCTGATTAAAACACAACACCAAAACCAACCACTGTGTATGGCATTAAAATAAATTGATTCAATATATATTTTTATTTTGCAAACTTTCCGGGTGTATCTGCTATTAATCCTCCGGGAGCATTTAGCTTATTTACTCCAAGAATTTTGCTGTTTATCTAATTGTATCAAGCATTTAATTAAAACAGCTATCAGCTTGCCTCTAACGCTCTGAAAATGGAAACTGAAGTGTGTCTCAGGAGGATCTGGTATTTCCAAGTCAGAGAAGGTCAGTCAAATTATTAGTGGTTTTAATTAGTCTTCCAAAAAGTGATCATATTTAGACCCAAAACTACAAAGCAAAGGACTTTTTCCCCTTTGCCTTTGAAAATAGTAACAAAAGGCAAAATGCGCTGCCCAGTACTTTCTTGCAAAGCCCGCTCGTCCAGGCCACGGCTCCCTGCTGCTTCTACCATATTTCCAATCACTTCTTCTAGGAATTGCATTTTTGATCCCATAATGCGACAGTCACGTAACAGTGCTTCTTGTCTGTAGAGGATTCAAAGCGACCAGATACATTCACACACGGTTTCCTTTCCTCCTCACTACAGCTGTGTTTCTGAGATTGACAGAGAGGGCAAGGCAAGCCCAGGGAGGCTGCAAACCATAGCTAGTTCATGGCAGAGAGGGATCAGAAAGCCCCCCCTTTTGGACTCTACATGGTAATGCTTTGCCTGTAGCCTCACCAAGGTCATGTGGTTGGGTGGGGGGCTGCCAGAAGCCAACCCTGAGCTGAAGATTGGCTTGACCACAATTTATTAGTGCAGGGTTCTAGGAGTCACCACCAAGTGGGTGGGAGGGGGAAATTAAAGACAACCATCCAGGATCTCATTAAAGCCACATCTTGGGCTCGGCCTGATTCCATGGGGATGTCTGGGGAGTAACCCGTCCTGCTTAGAAGCAAGGGAGCAGCTGAACGTTTGTGCACTCACACAGATCACCCACTGGTTACAGGGGACTACAAGGATTAGGAAAACCACTTCCCAGAATTCACCATCCCAGTGCCCAGAGGTAACAGTCCTGAAGGTCCCTGGGCTCAGCCTTGATCAGCTAAATGGATGCACAGGTGGGAAAAGAGCTCCTAGGAGATCCACGTGGGCTGAGCCTGGGGCCCAGCATGGATGGACTTCTCCTTGTGGCCAACAGGTATGGACTGAGCTCCTCCCACGTGCCAGAGAATTCTATCAAGAGCCCATCTCTGAGATCCTCTCCCTTCGAGTTCAATCTCCTGGGTTTTATCTCCTTTACAACACCCATTCCTGCCTGCGTTTCCTCCTCTCTGGGTGTTTGCTGGTGTCTTGCTTATTTCTTCCTGCTAGAATACAGGTTTCTCAGGAGCTCAAATTCAGTATGCCGAAAAAGCCCCCTCTGAAGAGTGGACGCTTTCCCTGAGACCCGAAATTCCAAGGATAGACAGCTGCGAGGAGGTTAGGGGAGACCTTGTTCTAGGCAGAGGACATGGGAAGTGCAAGGGCACTGAGGTGGAAATTGGCTTGGAGCTCCCAGAGCAGGGAGTGAACCTCAGTGAATGGCAGGGAGGTAGCAGGTGGGAGAGGTCAGGAAATAAAGGGCTCTGGGCACCCTGGCGGGTGGAGCCCTCAGAGACCCCGGGCGCACACAGCACCTTCATGAAGGTGACTCCATCTCCCATCCCAACCTGTCACCATCTCCCTTAGCAGGGACCCTGCACCTCTTTCAACTAGAGTGTGCATCATCCATCAGCTATAAAGGATTTTCCATGGACCAATTTTCTATTCAGCAGTTCGCTGATGAATGCCGAATGGCTATCTGTAGACTTATGTCAACAAGATACGACGGCGAGGCTTTCTAAACAGGAGCAAATTATCTCCATGTTCACGGAACAGCAAACGTCTGCAGTGCCGCAGCCTCACTGCTGAGCCTAGCAAGTCGGATTTGTTTCCCGAACCAGGACTCCAACTAGAGGATGCACCCAGTTTACCCTTTCCCACCCTTTCTGTGTGGGGCCGCACAGCCACTGGCACCCTGCAGGCCCTCTCCCTTTCCCGGGGGAATGGGGACGGCAGGTGCTACTGCTCCTGTCTTGCTGATGTTGGAAGCACAGCCCCATGATGGAGAGCAGGAGCTGTGTCTGAGCAGAAGGAGCCAGCGGGAAAGGAAGAACCGCTCTGCTCCTCCGTGTGTCTTGACGAAATCTTGGGTCAGAAGAGCTGGTGATGAGGCCAATCTGAATGCCAGGGAAGAGGAGCTGGGAGCTTTAGCAACGCCTTTTTTTTTTTTTTCATGTTGCAGATGATGAATTCAAGGCATGAAGGATGTAAGATATACACATGATCTGGGGTCACAGAGCTAGGAGGCACCCATGGTTCAGAGCTGCCCACACCCCGAGTTTCTCCCTGCCCAGGCTAGTGGGCCTTCCTCAACACCACCCTCTCTTTGAAAGCATGACTTTCTTTTCTTTTCTTTTTTTTTTTTTTTTTGACAGGCAGAGTGGACAGTGAGAGAGAGAGACAGAGAGAAAGGTCTTCCTTTGCCATTGGTTCACCCTCCAATGACTGCAGCGGCCAGTGCGCTGCGGCCGGCGCACCACGCTGATCCGATGGCAGGAGCCAGGTACTTATCCTGGTCTCCCATGGGGCGCAGGGCCCAAGCACTTGGGCCATCCTCCACTGCACCCCCTGGCCACAGCAAAGAGCTGGCCTGGAAGAGGGGCAACCGGGATAGAATCCGGTGCCCCGACCGGGACTAGAACCCGGTGTGCCGGCGCCGCAAGGCGGAGGATTAGCCTCGGCTCTACAGTGCTTCTGAATCCAAGAGTCTCCACGGGCATCCTCAACACAAATATGGGGCATGGACACTTGAGGAGGCTGTTCTTCCAAATTAGATCTGGAACCGTTTAGACCTAGGAGAATGACGCTTGAGGCTCTGTTCCTAAATTTTTTAAGGACTATGCCAATTTGAGTTAAGGAAAACCTTCTACTGCCTTTGTGCGTTAGAGTTGCTAAGTCTGGATGACAGGTGCCTGATTCATTCCCTTGTCAGGCGAGAGCAGGTAAGATCCAGCCTCAGGCAAAGAGGCGAACAAGGTGACCTTACCTTTTTGTCGCTGAGGCCGGTCACTTGGTCCACGAATTCCTCCTGGATCATGAAAGCAGCCAGGTTGGCCGTGTAGCTGGCCAGGAATATGACAGCAAAGAAGGCCCATACAGATACCATGATCTTGCTGGTGGTCCCTTTAGGATTCTGGACGGGCACGGAATTGTTGAACACCAGGCCCCAGAGGAGCCATATAGCTTTCCCAATGGTGAAAGAAGGCCCGTGGGGTGCTGCAAGAGACAGAAAGTAGAGCCTCAGCGTTTTCTCAAATTGCACACGCAGAAGCCACGCAGTGGCCACCAGGAAGACCGTGTCCTAGAGCCGCAGCCACAGTAACTTCCTTCTAACTGAATTTTTTGGGTCACTTTCTTTTAACAGAATAGAAAGGAAAGAAAAGGGATATGCAAAATAGGAGTTTGCATGAGAAGTAGTGCTGTGACAGGTTTTAAATGTGGACTTGATTTCCAATCGGGAGGACCGATCTCTGCAATGAATGTAAAGACAGCCTGACAAGAGTGTGTGTGGGGGGCAAGGGGCTGCGTTGGTGTCCATCAGATGTGCTACCGTACATGAACTGCACAGTTCAGCAGCACTGGTGCTTGGTATTCTCATTCAGTCATCCCTGGTAATCTCTCCTGTTGGAGCTCAGACGTGAAGTGTGTACAATACAGGAATTTAAATCCAGCGAAAATTCTCTACAAATGGAGACATTAAGGAGCAGAACAATAGAACTTAATTCTTCCAGCATTTCACAGATGGAAGGCACTCCATCGCAGGGTCCAGGAAGACGAACTCTGATATCACAGCCCATTTTGGTATCCAGTGTATCCTTATAAAAACTGTTTCCCTCTTAGGATTCGTAAATGCTCCTTCCAATAGAGTTACCAAAGAGACAGAACAATATGCCCAAATGTATTTGGATGGGACATATACAGGCTGTGAAACACTCACATTAGGGTTTTCAAGTCTTGGTTTTGCACAGGAGAAAAAAGAATCAATTTATGTCCTCATTTTAAGAGGGAAAAAAGGTCTTTCTTTAACAGAAGGTTAATTCTGTATGCCATTTAAGTAAATGAAGATATGAAAAATGATCTACTGAGGCTTTAGTTGGCCATGCAAGCAGAGTGGGCCACAAATAAAGTGGGAGAAGTGAATTTAGATTGATTGAAGTTATGAGTTTCTGGGCAAGGAGCCTAGGAAAAGCAAGCTTCCTGCACATTAGAGGCCAATCTCAGACTACAGACATACGTATTGTGTCCATAATGCAACACATTACAGAGAAGGCAATTAATTCCATTACTCCCAATCTCCCATTTCTCTTTGCCTGGTTTTATGATCCTCTGGGCTTTTTCCCAAGAGGCTGGGAACTCTTGGGAAAGAAACAGTCATAGGCAATGCAGTTAAGTTCATGAACTATTTAATTTTATTAAGGATGCATACTGATCAGAAGAGACAGCTATCTGGGGGCTATAAATGGTCCCCTGAAAGGGACCTGAGAATTTGGGCAATTCATGATTCACGAATATGATTCCTGGGTCATATCACTTCCCCTATAAAGTGCAGGGAATTGGAACAGAGAAATATTTTGCACAAGGAAACAAGGAACTGTCACTTCCTGAGTCACCACATGTAGACAAGCAGTCAACAGACAGCCTTGGCAGCAGTGGAGGGGCTAAGGTGCTTGCATTCCAGACCCTTGTCTTCCAACAGTCTTCTAGGCGTGCGCCAGCCAAGGGAGAGACCATCACCCATGGTGGCCTTTGGGTCACTTTTACACTGCAAGATCCACCTCACGCTTGTCCATTTATCTCTGTCATCCTTGCCCCAGTCCGAATCACTGTAATCCTCTCTGTTCAAAGACTGGTCTCCCTGCTTCCAAGGCTGTGGTTCCCTCCCATGATCCTGCTGGAGCAGCCCCAGCAACCCTTTCACACTGTGTATGTTTGTCCCTCCTACTGTGTTCTGTAAAGAATCTGAAATGCCTACCATAGTCAACTGCTGCCTGTCTGACTTCATCCTGAACTACTGGCTGCATCATGGAATGTTTGTCTCTGTTCCACATGCAACTACATCTTCGCATCCTTCATGCCTCTTGTTAATGCCATCTCTCCTGAACACCCTTCTCTATTTGAGCATCCTGTCTCACGCCACCTCACCACCACCCCATCACCATCTTCTTCTCCTTCTTCCTGAGATCTAATACAATCTGTGACGACCAGTTTATGCATTGACATGTCTCCGCAACTAAATGCTATGCTCCCTGAGGGACAGGAAGGCAGTTTCTGTCTGATTCAACATGTTACTCTCTGTACCAATGCAGTACCTGACACTGTACCTGTTCACGGTGGTACAAACTCTGATTACATAAATGCACAGATTTGCTCAACCCCAGTACAATCACTCACAGAAAATTATCTCCTATTCCACTGGGTTAAAAATCTCATCAACAGTTGTATTATACATCCTTTCCGTGAAGACTGGCAACCTTCTACTCAAACGCAACATGATTATGTATGGCATTTTACCGGCTGGTTGATTGGCGATGGTTTATGTGGTCATCGCCACTCTTCAATGGTTAGGAAGAAATGGGAGTAATAGATTCCTATGACGAGTTGGCTGTTTCCAATACTAAAGCTTCCAAGTGAAAAGAATACATGTCAAATTGTAAGTGTGCGCTTTTTAGGGCATTTCAGATTTCCAGGTATTCGATCCTCCAACATATTAAGTCATGTTTTGGGAAGGAGATTTTGTCGTGGCTTCATGCTATCATTCACTTAGAAGGTGTTGTGCATCCAGGAAATGCACTCGTGATGATGCACTGTAATGTGCTCAGGTGTTTATGGATTTGACACCACAAACACTGGCTTATTTGGGAGCCTCTTAATAAGTAATAGCTGATAAATGTCTCCCAATCCCACTTTCTATCTACTGACTGCCCCCTTATCAAGTACAGTGCAGGCACCATCAAGAGGAAAATGCAATTCTTTGGGAAAAGATGCCATGTTGTAGTATTATTTATTATTAAACCGATGCAAACATGACTCAGACGTTTGAAGAATGTTCTTAAACTAGAATTTATAAACCCATTTTTTTTATAGACTGAAGTACAGACTCACTACAATTTTCACTTTTGACACACATTTTTGTGGGGAGCAATCCGGACTGGACTAAGTTACTGGAATTAAGACTTATTCTATGCATCTGCTCTCCCACAATATGGCGCTGGGAGAGAAGTAAACAGCTTCCGCACAGCTGCCTCCAGTTCAACCAATAAACTGTAGGACTTGCTACTGATTGGAGGAGAGCAGCGTACTCGGCGTGTGGGCAGCCGAGTTGGGATTGGCAGAGGAGGACTATAAAGGAGGAGAGAGCCGGCATGCACCAGGAACATCTAAGGGGAACATCTAGCTGAAGGAACACCTGTGCAGCCCCCGAGAAGAGCCGGCCGGCGGTGTGCCGCTCCCCTGCGGAAGTGGGGAATGTGGCCAGGGGGAACCGCCCTTCCACGGAGGTGGAAGGGATAGTAGCCAACCCGGGAAGAACCAGCAGCAAACCCGGGGAGGGCCGAGCAGACGAAAGAACAGCGCAGGGTCTAGTGTCGTTCCTCCACGAAGAGGGGGAGCGACAATTTTTAAAATCAGTTTCTCCAAAAAAACCCTCCTTTAAATCAATGGCTTTCACTTACTAACTACCGATTTTGTATCATCACAGGATTAAAGTGTCTCATTTTGTTTTCCCTTCTTTTGATTGAAGTGAATAAAATCACTCCTTTCTGGCATTACAAGGAACACGCATGATCCCACATCATCCATATGATGCTACACCAAGGCAACGTGGGATAATATGCTCTCAATTTAAAATCTTCACTGAAGGCAAATGAAAGAACAGCAGCTTTTAATCATGCTCATGGAGGCTTCCTTACCTTTCCCTTTGGCTAAGTTTCTGTTGTATCCAACAGGGCTGAAGTACTCAAAGACAAAAACAGCTATGGCAGAGACAATGAGCAGCATCACAAACATCATCACCCAGACGGAGGCGCTGAATGGTTCTGCAGATGGACAGAGGAAAACATGGTCAGCTAGCTGTTCCCCACTTCCACGGGAATCCCAGACACCCATTTCTAGGATCACCAAGAACATTTCTCTAATAGAATCCAACCATTAGAAGAAGCTAGTCATTTTTTATTCACACATTTGAACCATTCTTTATTCTACAAAGCAGTTTAGATATTTTACGAGGCTTCCTATTCCATGTTCAAAATAGAGTAGCATATGATGCTTTACAAGTCAAGGATAAGAGAAACAAAAAAGAATGATAACCCCAAGGCATAAAGTTAGCATACAGACAAACAGGCCACAGGGCCCTGTGTAACTGTAGAACTACCCAGGGGACCAAAGCCAAGCAGAAACTAGACTGAATCCAAATGGTTAATCATAAGGCTTCTGTAGATCAGCATAGTTTGAGTTTTGCTTTTACATACTGTGGGGATGATGTTCAGGGAATTTGAGATGTAAAAAGAGAAGGGTAAGCTATTAGAAAAGGGTCATTAAATCATGGGTTTGACAACGACCACATCCCATGTGACTTACTAAGGGGGACAGATGCGATATCCACAGTTTCATAAGTCTTGTTGATGCTCATGATGGTTTTGATGCAACTAAGGTCATCTGAGGACACGACAGTCACATGATAATCCTATCTAAAAGCATCATTCAGAGCCAAGGAAAGAGGTAGTAGATGGGAAAATGGTTATTTCCCCTAAAAGTTTTTTTTTTTTATCATTTCCTTTCTGTCTAGCTTAGGCAGTGGGTGGGTATTTCAGAAAGAGCAGATCAAGTCACAGGCTCCAACATGCTATACAGTAAGAGATATCATTTGAATGAAGTAAAACTTCTCTTGACTTCATTGAGGATATGAAAGAGCTGATTTAAGCCATTTTATCCATTTGTAATATATATCTGCTAGATAATCAACAGGGACTAAAATTTTAAATAGGAGTACCTTTCGATCTGAATGTGCCATTGGGAGGAAACTGTCAGTGGCCACCAATGGCCTCAAAATACTTTCCTCAGAAGCAAACATTTTGGGGGGCAAAATGTAATACATTCAATAATACTCCTTGAATAGTAAACATCACGAATGTAAAAGTTATTATTTTAAATTGCTTTTCTGATGAAACCAGTAATAATAACAAAGAGATAAGCTGAAAGTAGCCCTCCTTTTGTTACAGTCTGTGATTAACTAACACAGCTAGCGGTCACCACAAATTTAAGTTTCATTAAATTAATGCATTACAAGAAACTAACAGAGTTGAGGCCCTAACTACACTGCATAATTTAAATAGTGGAAGCACTGCTTTGCAATGCAGCTTTGAACATACATACATGTTAAAAAGCAAAAGGCAGTCACACAACTTAACACAAGATGAGCTCTAGCGAATCAAGAGAACTCCAGTTGAAATCTATCTTAAATTTAGGTTGAATGATAAAAAATATTATGCTGCTGGAATCATACAAATTTGGTAATGAAGTGAATCCAAAAAGGAGTAGAAATGAATGAACAACTGGGAGACAAAAAAGTACTCAGTAATCAGGAACACAAATGCTGAAGTAATTCTCCAAGTCAACACACTAACAGCGATGATATTTCTTCCCAGAGGAGGACAGCTGTGATGTGTGAATGACCATAGACACATAAAGCATTAGGCAGGGTGCCTTGCACATTGCCTGCACACAATACACTGAATGGCATGGATGAAATAATCAAGTGAGGGAAGGATGCTGTCCGTGGTGCTGAAAAGGGCATCTTTTTAAAATATTTATTTATTTATTTGAGAGAGAGAGAGTGAGTTACAGAGAGAGAGAGGGAGAGATAGGGAGAGAGATCTTCCTCTTGCTGGTTCACCCCCTAAATGGTTGCAACAGCTGCAGCTGGGCCAATCAGAAACCAGGAGCCAGGAGCTTCTTCCAGGTCTCCCACTTTGGTGCAGGGGTCCAAGCACTTGAGCCACCCTCCACAGTTTTCTCAGGCCATATCAGAGAGCTGGGACATGAACTGGTACCCACATGGCATGCTGGCACCACAGGTGGAGGCTTAACCAACTATGTCACAGTGCCGGCTCTACCTTGGTATTTTTAAAAAAGCACACTTATTTATCTGGTAACTTCCAGTTTTCTGTAGGCTATGATAAATTTATTAAAACATGAGGGGAAACCCGTACTGAATACTTATACTCCAATGTCAGAATCTTTAAACCAACAAAGGACCTCAGTTGACAGATGCACCCTTGTTACTAACACACTGGTCAGAAAATTAAGTGGAAACTGATCAAGCAACAGATTTCAGCTGTCTTCTCACTTGCAAGTGACAACCTCTGTCCCCTGACATGTGAGCATGGCACAGAGATAAAAGGATTCTGCTGCAGTCTCCTGGTTTTAGTAATTTAAGTACCTGTGAGGTTGAAGGATTGCAATTCTCAGGCACCACACATGCACACCCCTGGGTAAAAGACATTAAAACAACATCAAATACTGTTTACACTGCCTAAGAAGTGACCCAAAAATACTGTTAAGAGCTCAGAATTATATCCTCTAGTGACTTAACACTGAGTTAACATCTGTCCGGGAAGAATCTTCAGTCCAGGAGACACCAGGTCAAAGTTTCTTTGGATCAAAGAATTCAGCCTGCTTGTAAAGTCTTAAAAATTAACTGGATGGAAATATTGCCAAGTGACGTCATCTCTGTCCTTGAAGAGCTGCTGGTTACATTTCTCACACAAAAGCTCAGAGGCATTACCTGCGAGTGGTTCCGATGTGAGTTAATGGAGTTTGTGGAGGAGAGAGAATAGGAAATAATGAAGAGCAATGCAATCAGCTTTTGAACGTTTGGGCTCTTCCAGATGACTGAGCCAGTGAATGGAAAAATGTAGCTTAGCATGGTTCATTATGACTTTCAAAACCTGCAGATAATGTCCCTAAATAAGGGGGTACACAGTCAATCAAATAGGGATGTAATTTAGTGACTAGGAAAAATATTAATCCGACTGTGTAAAGGCAGCTTTGAAAACAGTTCCCTCTGGCTACAATTCATTTTATTTTATTTTTAAAGATACATCGGGAAGAGTGGGTGGGGGGAATGCTAAAGTTACCAAAACACCCAACATTTTATGGAAATATTCCACAGATGCACGTAAGATAAAGATCTAGGGAAACTGAGTTGAGGCCAAGTTCAATATCCGTGACCCATTTTTGTCTCATTTTTATGAAGCAAGTTAATTGATTTCTCCCCACTTCTAACTGAATTGGGGGGGGGATTACCTGTAGCTTACTAAAGAGATACAGAGACAATTTGTGAAAATAAAGATTCTTGGCCAGTGCCGCGGCTCAATAGGCTAATCCCCCACCTAGCGGCACCGGCACACCGGGTTCTAGTCCCGGTTGGGGTGCCGGATTCTTTCCCGGTTGCCCCTCTTCCAGGCCAGCTCTCTGCTGTGGCCCGGGAAGGCAGTAGAGGATGGCCCAAGTGCTTGGGCCCTGCACCCGCATGGGAGACCAGGATAAGCATCTGGCTCCTGGCTTCGGATCAGCGCGGTGCGCCGGCCGCAGCGCACCAGCCGTGGCGGCCATTGGAGGGTGAACCAACGGCAAAAGGAAGACCTTTCTCTCTGTCTCTCTCACTATCCACTCTGCCTGTCAAAAAAAAAAAAAAAAAAAAAAAAAAAAGAAAGAAAGAAAAGAAAAAAAAAGAAAAAGAAAGATTCTTTACAATTTTGTTCTATGAATTCATTTTCCCCAACTGTTTCTTAACTTCTGGGGCAGAGGCCCCTCTCAAGGAATTGGACAGGAAATGGGCAAAATGACTGGGAGTGACTCAGAAGTGAGTGTGCATTCAACAATTAATAAGACTCTGTGTTGTCTACATCAGTGGCTTGCACTTTTTCCTGATATGGTGAAGCTTCCTTTTGGGTCTACACATCCACTTCAGACCAAGGGACAAAAGAAACATAATGAGGTGTGTGTTTATTAAGGTTGCATTTCTCCAACAAAGGTTACAAAAACTGAAGCAACAAGTACAAAATCATCCAGTGACAGACAGGATTTCAAAAGCTTAATGGGATTGTTAAAAATGAAATTGGATGGGGCTGGCTGGCATTGTGGTGTAGCAGGTAAAGCCGCCGCCTGTGGTACCAGCATCCCACATGTGTGCCAGCTTGAGTCCTGGCTGCTCCTCTTCTGATCCAGCTCTGTGTTATCACCAGGGAAAGCCATAGAAGATGACCCAAGTGCTTGGGCCCCTGCACCCACATGGGATACCTGGAAGAAGCTCCTGGTTCCTAACTTTGGATTGGCCCAGCTCCAGATGTTGCAGCCATTTGGGGAGTGAACCAATGGATGGAAGACCTCTCTCTCTCTCTGCCTCTCTGTCTCTCTGTAACTCTGCCTTTCAAATAAATAAATAACTCTTTAAAAAACTGAAATTCGTAAATCCATATGCTTATAGAAGGTGAGACATAAGATTTTCGCTGGACATTAACACAGCACAGAGATGAAAAATGGGAGGACCAGGATGGTAGGCATGGAGTTGGTGTCTATACATCGGTGTTAGTTTGCAGTTCTCTTCAATAAAGTTTTTTTTTTTGTTTCTGGAAAAATGTACAAAAAGGATTAAGCTTTGTAGAACTGCCTCCCCTCTCTTACTTGGATTTCCTCTAAGTTTGTTCCAACCTTCACAAATTTGAGGTGAATCCATGCATAGAGCAGTAGCAAGAGGGAATTAATTAATACTCTAAATTTCCTGATCATCAACAAGACAGCCGCTACGGGAAATGACGCATGTTAAACAAAGTCAACACAACACCTTCCCCGAGAGAGAAAAATGCACAGGGCTGGGCTACCTTCCATGGAGTCTTCACTATTCTAGCCGGGATACCCAACACATACACACTTACAGAGCTGAAGAAAAGTTTCAAGGAAGAGAAAACAGGCAAAGCCAAAAAAGGCCTTATATGAAAACATAAACTTATGCAATGGTTAAAAAAGAGTCAAGAGATCTTCCTGTCTTGCAAACTATTTGGCTTGAAGAACTGCCACATTTAAAATACGATTCCATTAATTTTAAATCAATGTACATTCTTCAGACTACTATTTTGTTTATCAGAGTACTGGCATAAATCATTGTGCCGTCATCATTATTTTCCCTCTTGCATCTAATAAATAAATGACTGCCATTCCAGCGTGGGATGCAAGATGGGTATATGGATGCTGAATAAAGCTTTATGCACTGGTTTAAATTAACTGTAGACAGACAGGTTTATTTTTTAAATATTTTCAAGGCTCTAAGCAATATATCTATTAATTTACATTCTAGAGTCAAGACCAGTATCTGAATATATGAGAGTAGTTTTCAGCAGAGATTTGCAACTTAGGATAAATGAGAGCTGTGAACTGGGGTGTGTGTATGGTGGGGGGGAATGTGAGTTGGGATAATTCAAGTGCAACACGCTCTGGAACACGCTGATGTGGGCACATCATGCTAAACAGCAAGGTCTGGTCCAGCCCCACGCTGTCAGCAGACTGTAATTTATTATAGGGAAGCAGGATTCCCTATGAAGCTCACCTACCTAGAAAAGCAGAAGGCGAGACAGTGCCGTTGCTTCTGGAAACCATGACACTGATCCCTGTCTCCACGAAGGGCACAGAGAAGTCCACCACTTCAGAACGCTCCTCGTTGATGGTGAGCGAGCCAACTGCCATGACCGCTCGGCGGTAGACCACCTGGAGGTAAGGCAGAAAGAGAACAGCACCTTTATGTGTTCTTCCCGACATTTCTGATGATCGCAGGCCCCTGTCAGGATAGGAGGCTGGGGTGGAAAGATGACTTACTTCCCCAATCATGCCATTCCACACATTGTTGACTTTTTTGCCATGCTTCCCGTTGGTCACCAGGTAGAGGTCGTAGGTAAACTTGACCGTCCTGGAGAGCTTCTTCAGGATATCAATGCAGAACCCCTTGCAGCATTTCTTGACGTTCATCCCCTCGTTGGTTGAATTGCTGCAAAGAAAATCCCAAGACCATGGGCTGTTAGTACTGGAAGACTTGTCCAGTCATTAGCTATATTCTTCTATTAGCTTTCCAAAGTCGAAGTTCAAGAAGAGAAATGACTTTTCCATGGACACACACTGAGCTTACGACAGCCAGAGGAGAAAGTGTTCTTAATTATAGTGGTTACCAGCACAACATCTAATGCTTATTGAGAAGTTACTATATGCTAGGCACCACACTAAATGTTTTATACCAACTGTTGGCTTCAGCTCCATGATGTTTCTCCGAATTAGGTAGCATTTGTACCCCTACTCAACAGGTGAGAGTTACCGACTCATTTTTTTAAACATTTATAACACATACAACTACTTTAAACCAGAGTCCGGTTGTCTGATCTAAGTCGAGTCATAAAAACTTATGGGAAAATGGGAGAGAAGAGGGTGTGAAATTCTCAAGTGAGGTAAGGCTTTGCTTCATCCTCTAAGTACAGAGGCTTGAAACCAAAGGAAAGAATTGGTGGCACCAAGATAACTCCTGCCATCGTGGGGTTCTGCCCTGTGCCTGAGTCCACGGACTTAACCTCTCATGCTAGGCAATATCATATGAAGGCTCATTCAGACTATTTTTTCTACTTAACGACATGGCTTGAAGCACAAAAGGTCAGACTTTTCAAGAGCAATATCCAGGACCAAGGGGAAAAATCGCCATCAAAACAGAGACGGTTTTGCCAGCGTAAAGCCCGTCTTATGAGCTGCCAGGGTCAACTTCACTGCTTTGTACCAAGCACCCTGCTGTACTCTCCCGACCAGCTCATAGTCAGAGAACCAGAAACGTCTTTGGTAAGGAAGGAAACACTGGTCTTCCCCACTGACGGCAGAGAGTACTTAGACAACGCAGGCAGGAAGACCACGGCCTCTTCAGGGAACACACTTGCCTTACACTACAACATCGCAGCAGCTCTACTTTCTACTGGAATCACACAGGCCACAATGTAGGTGCTCTGTCTGTAACCTTCCGTTTTGAGCACAATTACACGTTGGACTATCGTCTAAGCACTAACATGATGTTTGTAGATGCCCAACTTCATAGTAGGAAAAAACATTTCTATCTCTTAGTTTAAAAAAGAAGTTATATAACAGTGCAAATAATAATCACAGCTACCTAAGAACAGATGAGTTTAGGAAATAACTGGATGAAAAAAATAATGAGATGCACAGCTATTTTTAATGGTAAATAGTGATTTTTTTTCCTTTTCATATTAGGATTTTTTCCATCAAATTCTCCAGTTAATGTGGACCATATATATCATACATAATTTGCTACACACACATAATCTAGTCAGAGAGGTTTATTGGTATCTACATCCATGAGTGTGGACAGACTTGACAATATAAGTGAGTAGCAGACACAGGTGGTAAATGGCACCTTTTCTCCAATGCTCTCCTTTATTCCAGGATCACGGACTACCTACCTTGATTCACTCCCATCACCTCCACAGTTTCCTGCCCCTGAGTTCGCCTCAACCACTCTGCTTCTTCAGCCATGATCACCATGCAGACTTTGAGCTCCAGCCTCCAGGGTGATGACCCCAGCTCTGGGGTACTCTAGGAACACCCTTGTATACATTCCCATGTGATAACTGCTGGACTCAATGCCGTAGAGTCCTAGGAGGTGGGTGCCTGCTGCATCCCCAAAAGCTGGAGTTAAAATGGCCATAAATATGATAGAAATGTGTCCAAACTACAACAGATGAATAGCATGCCCAGATACCATTATCTTCTTGGTATTTATCATCCTTGAAATAACTCAAAACAGGGGCAGGCATTGTAGTGCAGCAGTTAAGGTGCCAGTTGGGACGCCTGCATTCCGTAATGAACACAGCAGATAATGAATCAATACTTGGGTTCCTGCTGCTCATTTGGGTGGGTGGAGTTCTTGGCTCCTGGCTTTGGTCTGGCCCAGCCCCAGCTGTTGCTGGCATTGGGGGAGTGAACCAATAAATGGAAGTACTGTGTTGCTCTCTTTCTCACTCCCCACTCCTGCCTTTCAAATAAATATAAATAAAACTTTAAGAACTGCCAAAATTAAATGCCCTCTTTTGCTTCCTGCCTACTACACGTTCTGCATTGATGCCTCTTCCCCATCTCTGTCATCCGTCTCCCTCACACTCTCTGCCCCTGCCTTTCTCCTTCTATCACAGCCTTCTCCTCTGCCCGGTCCCCATACCTGGGACGGCTTAAAGAGAAGTTATAAATGTCCCTGACTTAAGATTCAGCGTCATAGGCACAGAATAGCATTCTTTATCATCGCTGGAAACATCAGTCAATTTCTGAGTTAATTATACTCCCAAGTCCGGGAGTACAAGGTGTGTTTCTAGATACAGACAGTCACTGGAATATTTTCAAATGCTGAGCACCTACTCTGTGCTGGACAACTACACCCTTGGGACAAAGGATGAAAAAGGCATTTAGCAAATGCAATAGTTCAATTTATCATGGCAATTATGGAAACACAGATCAGCCTGTAATTAGAAACATCTGTTGGTTACTGTTGCAGCCCTTGTGTGTCTGACTTCTCTATACTGACATCTGAGAAGTGGTCACCATGTATTCCATCTCTCTCTCTCTCTCTCTCTGCTTTCCATCACAACCAAAAGAAAGGATGACTCATAAAAAACAAGTATGGAAAAAGAGATCCAATACATTGTCTCCAGTTTCTCAGTGTGGCCAGAGGAGGTGAGCATAGACGCTTAAGTTAGACCAGATCCATGTTCACGCAGTTCCTTGGCTCCTGTCAACCAGTTCACGTCAGTCGGAGCACTCACAGCGCCTCTGTCTGCTTTTTCATAAACTAAGAAGTCTGATTCTTCCTTTCCAAGACTGTCGGGAAGATTTAATAAAATATGGACAGCTCTTCTCAGATGAGCACTTAAATCTCTCCTCTTTCCACCAATTTGGCAGTGTTGCAGTTTAATGGACAGTATGATCATTTCTCCTGACATCATCAGGCAAAATAATTTTCCCAATTTCCCCTTCATGACTGTAACATGCAATAGATTAGTGGGAAATTCTGATTTCTCAGCTCATTTCCTAAACTGGTTTTTGGAGACTAATATGTGCCTTCAAGACCCCAGAATCTCCCAGACGCTACCAAGGACAGGTTTTCCCCTGGGAAAAGCAGTCCCAAGTAAATACAGTCGTATTGTCCAACAGGAATCCTTCTTGCAACCAATTAGCCTGGCTCAAAGATGTTACATTTAGGAAATCCAATGGCTTTAACCTATGCTAATACTGGGATTCCTGAGCTCTAATTTTGTATTGCTCCCAGGGAAGTCAAAGGCTTAGTACATAGTACATAGTAAACTCATGTTCTCAAGCAGGAAAGGCAAAGCCACAAGCTGCCACCTCCCTATAGGAACAACAACAACAAAATAATGTGAGCTTGAACCTGATAAGCTGTTCACAGTGTTCAGTAAAAATGTCAATTCTTTAACAGGAAGTCATTTATTTTGGCTCATTTACTTCATACACAAGCAAGCTGGGATGTGGTGATGTGCTTGTTTTCAGCTCCAGGCCCTCTGATCTTCAGACTGTAAACTTATGTGAAGCAGAAGAGATGCCACTCGTGTGCCCTGCTGAAACACACAGGGTGCTGTCCCACAGGAGTTATGCTCCTTGCTTTCCCCACCTGGTCATGCAGGGCTCCCAACACCCACCCAAATCAGAATGGCCTTTGATGACTTCCCTGCACTGCCCCCTCCAGCCTCCTCCAGTCCCTGACTTCCCCACACTGTCCCCTCCATCCTCCCCCAGCCCCTGACTTCCCCACACTGTCACTGTCCCCTCCCCCAGCCCCTGACTTCCCCACACTGTCCCCTCCATCCCCTGACTTCCCCACAGGGTCACTGCCCCCTCCATCCTCCTCCAGCCCCTGACCCTCCAGCGTGCACTGTACTCCCTTCTGTGTTCCCACCACCAAGCTGATCCTCCCACTGGGGTCTTTGCACCTGCTGTGCCCTCTGCCGGGAGGGCTCCTCCATCAGCCCGTCACACATCCGGCTCTTCTCATCCTTTCTCTACAGCCTTCAACCTTACCTGTGTGTGACAATACATGCCCCATACCTCTACATACCCAGCTTACTTTCCTACTGCACTGCCACATTTACACCATCACCAGGCTTGTCCCTTCTTATTGAGTCATTTTCTAACTATAAGGTCTTTGCTTCCCTGTTCTCTGATACAGTCCCTGTGCCCAACACTATGCCTAACACATAAACTGAGTTTTATAGACATGCACACATTTCTATTTCTTGAAAACTTCATTTCTAACAATATTGTTAAATATAAATATTTAACAATATTTCCAACAATACTCTTAAATATTTCATTTATAACAATATTTCGAACAGTATTCTAAAATGGCATTTAGTTGTAAAGGAATTCAGGAAAAGTATTAAGACATTCATATCCCTGAAACGAGGATCCCCACCTGCCCTTTCTTGAGTCTTAGAGGGGCTAATTTATTTATTGCATGATCTACTCTGAAGAGGCTCAATTTAGTGACCTTGCTGACAAAGTTTTCTTCGAATCAAAATATGCCTTCGTAATCACACTGAACAATCATGTGTTAGACAGTTAGAGCCCCGGCCCTGAGATTGAAGATCGCATCTTGTCTGTCAACCGCTGGGGCCGAAGTTTGAAACGTGGCAGTAAAAGTGATCACATATTCTCTGTTCTCTCAGTAGACCTTGGTGACCCGTGCTCTGCCCTCTTGACTGAGGAGGTGAAGATTTAAAGGCCACACCCACCCGTATTTAGGTAGCTCCTTATGCAGGAGGAAAGACAAACCATAAACGATAAACAGGCGATCAGGATGGAGGCAGGGGTGGCCCAGAGCACCTGCAGAAGCAGGGAGGCTGGCCCAGCTTGAGGGCATGCAGGGAGGGACTAGACCGAGAGTTCTAGTTGTCCTTTACAGTAAAAAGGAAATACTCAGAAAAACATACCACCATCCGACAGTCGGCCTTTTCCTTGGGTGAACGGATGGTATTTGGCCTTGCATTTGCTTTAGGAATGACTATAAACCAGGCCTTGGAATCGTCTGTGGCGCTTTCTGCGTCCCCAAGTGGTCTGCGGGTTGTAGAGAACCCTTAATATACCTGTCTGTGTTCTTTTTTCAATCCTAACAAAAGAGAAAATGGCAGGGATGCAACGTGGGCTTGCTGTCAGAGGGTCAGACTCCACCTCTACAGCATCAGGAAATCATACACAAGCTGTGTCCACCTCGGGATCTGGGAGATACAGAGCAGGCGAAAGGAAGGGGAACACACCAGGGAGGGGACGGAAATGAGAGGAAACCAGAAAAATTTTTAAAAAGAAATCCTTTAAGGAGAGGCTTGAGGGTGCTGGGGGTTGACTGAGCACCAGGGGTAAGAACACAGCTGGGGTCAGCCAGCTCAGTGTGTGAGCCGCACCTCTCCCATGTACTAGCTGGACGGCTTCAGCCGTGTTCTCCAACCTGCCCATAACTCAACTGTATCCACTGTCAAAAGCCCTCACCTCACATAGCTGTGAGAATTCAACGGATGTAAACTTGGTGCATCTCCAGGCAATCATAAACATGAGCCCATTGTTATGCTATAGCTATCAGGACAGTGTGTTCTGTATTACGTTTTGTTACTGAATGACAGCTGCTGTTGTGACCAGTGATTTGCACTATTTGACAGGCATGGGTACGTCCGAAACCCGGACTCCCTGGCACTCACTTGATTTTGACGAACTTCCGACAGGGCACCGTGTTCCGCACGCACGTCTCGGTCAGCGGGTCGATGTCTTCCACGATGACGAAGGGGGCCTCCTCCAAGGTGACGATGCTCAGGTGGTTGTCATCGGGCTCGCAGTCAGAGAAGGACTTGTACCGGGGCCACACAGCATGCCTCAGGCTCAGGGTCTGGTTCTCCCACTTGCCCACCTGCACCACAAACACAGAGATACACCTGTGCCACATTGTGCCTCTGACTTCCAGCAGGGTGAGTCCTTCCCCACGGAAGGCACGAGAGCAGAAATCCACCTGCCATAAGGACTGTCCTGTTACTTCCCTCAACACATGCACTTGCTCACGGGTTAAGACAAACTGGGGCTAAAGAGAAAACAGAGCATCGAGCTGCAGTTCCCCCCAGCTCCTCCACAGAGGAACTGAATGTGCATGTCTGGGAGTGACACCAGAGCACAGCGTCCTGCCAGAGCTCACGGTCACGGGTATCACAGACAGAGCGACGACTTCTGAAAAAAATCAGCAAGGTCTGCATCCAAATCCCCAGCTCTGCCCCTCACAGGGGGGCTTCAAAAAGTTTACAGGAAGTAGAATTAAAGGATAAACTTATTCTGAAATTATTTATTTATTTCCATTGCATTTGAAGGGCAGACTTCCCAGACGTCCACCACAGTCAAGGCTGGGTCATGCTGAGGGGGAGGAGACCAGAGTCCCATCCAGGTCTCCCATGTGGGTGGCAGGGACCCACGCACTTGAGCCATCACCCGCTGTCTCCCAGGATGCACAATGGCAGGATGCTGGGTTGGAAACCAGCTTGAACCGGCCCTCCAAAAGCAATGCCGGTGTCCCAAGCAGTGACCTAACTGCTGTACCAAATGCCTGCTCTGAAAAAAAAATCCATTTTGGTATAAAAAAATTTTGACATGCATACGTACAAGGGGTCTTCAAAAAAATTCATGAAAATGTCTATTATTAAAAAAAAACTATGTTGTGGAATTCAAAGATTTTTGCAACAAAATCAACTTATCTTTGGACTTCATTTTCTAGGAATTCATTGAAGTAGCTTCATTCTAACTGAAGTACTCTAGGCACACTCTTAATCACCGAGAGCTTTGTTTTCCCGCCTGTAAAATGGACACAATCCCACCTTCTTCCTAAGGACGTCATGAGAATTAAATAAGGCAGTGCAGGAAAAGCAAAAGCATGCAGCAAATATTCAGCAGGTAAAATTAAAAGGAGAAATCTGGAAAGTTGCTGAGAAAAAAGGAAGAGGAAGAAAGAGGAAACGGAGATGAGAACCAGGAGAAGAGGGGACAGAGCAGGAGAGGAAAGGAGCTCATTCCAGCCCCTCATATGCTTGCACTTAAGCTGCAGATTCAGGTGAACTTGTATAATCCAGCACAGGATGGAGACCGTGACTGCTTAGCGTACATCAAGACCTGTCAAAACAGAATCGATTGTGCGCCCTCGGAGCGGCAGTCGGCGTCTCGGTGAAAGCGAATTGAAGGCTGTATGTTTTGAACCTTAATTTTATTTGACAGCTTATTGGCACTGCTCACACACACCGAGAAAAAGCCGCCCTGCCCGGCGCCGTCTCCTTCCTCCTCCTGCTCCTGCTCCCGCACGCGGTCGCTTGACACCGCGGGTCAGCGCTGTGTTTGTGACAGTAACCTCTGGGAGAGCACCTTAGTCTGAAAAGCTAAGCGGCTAGTCCAGGCTCGTCTGGGCGGCTGTGACCCTTTCCCACCCCACCAGGAACATCAGCGTCACCAGAAATGAATCGTGGGCGAGCAGGGCGCCAGGAGTCTGAACCTAAAGGTGCTTTCTGACTCTGTGCAGGATGCTTCTGCTAACTGAGCTACAGTGACTGAGCTGCAGTAGCCACAAAACCCGACCTGGCTGGCACGCTGGGCTCCTAACGCCCCGAGGCAAGATAAACTAAGGCAAAGGCTGCATAGCCAGCAGAACCTCTGGTGATGCCACTGACCACATTACACTCGGGATTTCATAGCCAAAGTTCCAGCTGAAGCCGGTCTGGGGAGAGGGACAGGGGGTGGGGGAGACCAAAGGCTTAGGAGTTCCCAGACTGCAATAACCTCCTAAATCCTCCAAGTTGCACTCCCCGCTCCTGACATGTCAAGTAATACCTGTAGGTCAGCCAAGGGGGATGCAGACAAGTAGTGGGCAGAGAGAACTTCATCTGGAGCTTTCGCTGTTGTGCAAACCGTGTCCTCAATCCCGGGAACTCTTAGCTCCTTCTCCAAGTCTCCCGCCCCACTCCCAAAATCCCATCCACAAAATGTCATACACCAAATGGGCTATAATGGACACTCTTATCCCTCTCCTCCTATGTTCCTATCTATGAGACACTGTAACTGAATCCAATTTTTGCAGGCAGCTTTGACAGAGACCCATTCACTCCCTGAGTATTTTTTTGTGGCTATGAGTGCTGTGCTGGACTCTCAGGATACCATAATCGGAGCAATGAAGTTTTTGCTCACACAGAATGTTTATGTTCGTTAAGAAGACACTGGGCCTGGTGCTGTGGCATGGTGGGTTAAGCTGCCACCTGAAGGGCCAGCATCTCGTTTCAGTGCCAGTTCAAGTCCTGGCTGCTCCACTTCCAATCCAGCTCCCTGCTAATGTGTCTGGGAAAGTAGTGGAAGATGGCCCAAGTTTTTGGGCCCCTGCACCTACACGGGAGAAGTGGAAGAAGCTCCTGCCTCCTGGCTTTGGACTGGCCCAGCTCCAGCCATTGCAGCCATTTGGGGAGTGAACCAATGGATAGAAGATATCTCTCTCTCTCTCTCTCTCTCTCTCTCTCTCTCTGCCTCTGCATCCCCCTCTCTGTAACTCTGCCTTTCAAATAAAATAAATTTTTTAAAAAACTCAATCAAGGCCAGTGCCGTGGCTCAACAGGCTAATCCTCCGCCTTGCAGCGCCGACACACCGGGTTCTAGTCCTGGTCGGGGCACCGGATTCTGTCCCAGTTGCTCCTCTTCCAGGCCAGCTCTCTGCTATGGCCTGGAGTGCAGTGGAGGATGGCCCAAGTGCTTGGGCCCTGCACCCCATGGGAGACCAGGATAAGTACCTGGCTCCTGGCTTCTGATCAGTGCGGTGCGCCAGCTGCAGTGCACCAGCCACGGCGGCCATTGGAGGGTGAACCAACGGCAAAGGAAGACCTTTCTTTCTGTCTCTCTCTCTCTCACTGTCCACTCTGCCTGTCCAAAATAATAATAAAAATAAAAAAACTCAATCAAATAATTATACAAAAATATACCTTATATAAACTGGGAAGAAAAAATGAAATATGGGTCTATGAGAACCTATAGGAGAAAAGAAACCACAGCAAGCTTCCCAGAGGAGGTAGCATTCCAGCTGAGAATGGAAACCCAGGATGAAGCGGAACAGAGCAGCGGGAGCAGTTGGTTGTGGGTTCAGAGGAAGTACGATTTCTCTGGACAGGCAGGGACCAGGTCATGCACAGTCTTGGGGATCCAAGTTAGAACTGGGAGTTACCCTCAAAGTTTTCTACAGACTATTGGTGCCCACTCCAAACTCATATCCTGACGTCTGGTCCCTATGTGATGACATCAGGAGGGGGCCTCTGGGGGACAGCAGAAGAGAGAAGACGTGGACTCCCACACCAGCACTAGACACACACGGGATGCTGCTGGAGCCCTCAGCCAAGAGGCTCCACCCATGAGGGTGCAACACGCAGGCAGCCGCAGCGCAACAGGAGGCAGGACCAGGATCCGCTGGCTCCCTCATCTCCGACTTCCCAGCCTGCAGAACCATGAGATGTCAATTCCGGGGTCTACCAGCCACGCAGCCAGTGGGATTCTGGATCAGCGACCTCAAGGACCAAGACAGAAGGTCTAGGCCATCACCCAACAGAGCTCATCCTGGATAAGTGCCCAAGTATGCCCCTTAATCCATTTCCTTCTTCCTCTTTAATTATGGCAATATTTAAAATTTCCATAGATTTATTTTCATTTTAGTTGAAAGGCAGTGAGACACAGACAGACAAAAGAAGATCTCCCACCCGCTAGCTTATTCCCCAAATGCCTGCAACAGACAGGGCTGTGCTAGCCTAAGGGCAGGAGCCCAGAATTCAATCCAGGTCTTCCACACATGGGTGGCAAGGGCCCAGTTCTTTGAGTCACCACTGTTACTTCTCACCTTCATTTGCTGAACAATACTGTGCCTCAATAGCCTGTGTTTGATACACTGCTGTGTATCAGCAGGAAGCCGGACTACAGAGTGGAAATGGGATTCAACCCCAGACACTAAGGTACATCACACAGTCATTCCAAGGGACAGCCCAACCACCGTGTCAAACGCCCACTGTGGAAACTTTTAACTTGTAACAAAAGTAGGATGGCAATAATGAACCTCCATGCTTCCAGAAACCGCATCAATGATTGCTAACTCATTGCTAACTCATGGCCAGTGTTGTATGATTTATACTCCCACCCATTCCCCCAAATTATATCAAGGAAATCTCAGTTATCATAGAATTTTATCTACAAATTCTTTTTTCTTTTTGACATGCAGAGCTAGCGAGAGAGAGAGAGAGAGAGAGAGAGAGAGAGAAAGAAACAGAGAGAAAGGTCTTCCTTCCATTGGTTCACCCCCTAAATGGCCACTACGGCCGGCACTGCGCCAATCTGAAGCCAGGAGCCAGGTGCTTCCTCCTGGTCTCCCATGCGGGTGCAGGACCCAAGCACCTGGGCCATCCTCCACTGCACTCCCGGGCCACAGCAGAGAGCTGGACTGAAAGAGGAGCAACCGGGACTAGAACCTGGGGTACCAGCGCCGCAGGCGGAGGATCAGCCTAGTGAGCCGTGGCACCAGCCTCTACAAATTCTTGATTTATTTATCTCACCTTCATTTGCTGAACAATATTGTGCCTCAATAGTCTGTGTCTGCACACGTTTAACAGTCATCAGACTGTGATCTCCCTGTCTAGCAGAGATGTTTTATAGGACAAATAAATATCAAACGATATGTCATATAACATATGATGATCAGTTTCTAGGTCCACAGTGTCAAGGTCAGGGCCTGGCAGATGGAAGGAGTTAATGGGTAGCTGATGGCAGAATAAGTAAACATCAAGCCTGGACTTTTTGTAAATGCCTTGAGTCAGAAGATGCTAGCAGAATGATCCAGTGTCCACGTGCGCTTCAGCTATGGAA